AAAAAAAAAAAAAAAAAAAAAAAAAAAAAAATATATATATATACAGTCAACTCTCTTTATAGTCACACATTTGGAACAGTTTATATTTGGTGATTATAATGAGATGTGACTATATAAAAAATTTCTTATATTAGTATATCATAATTCTGGCCAAAAATTAACATAATTTTAGCCAGAATTATACTTAAAACTTTATTGTATCATAACTCTGCCAATATTAATTGTAGAGAGATAATCTTTATATAATATTTGTTCTAATTAAACTTATATATACCTTTTTTATATAATATTTATAGGGTTTTGTTTTTTATCGCCATGGCAATGCATCACCAGTGTCACGTGATTTTGTAATTCCGGCCGGAATTAAAAGATCGTCAAAGAAATTTCCTTTTTTGAAAGTTTTGTGTAACAAAAACTTGGAATTTTGCTGAAAAATAAAATTGCTTTTTTTTGGATTGTGTAACATTACCTAAAGCTCCAAAAAAGGATATTTTGGCCAGCGTTATAAAATTTGGCCGAGATTAAGCATGTGATATATAGGGAGTGACAAATAGTATTTTTTGCACTGAAAAAATTCAAGTCCCCAGAATAAATAATAAAAATGGAAAACTAAAGGATGTGATGCGGGGTGACAAATTATTCACATATGTAAAGTCACGTGACACTTGCGACACATCGCAATGGCGATTTTTTATAAAATCCATATTTATATTTAATATTTAAATCAGATTTTTTGTATAAAATTTTAATATTTATATAGTACTAAATTATTTAAATAGTAATATATATTATTTCTTTTACTATATAAATAAATTAAATATTTTTATAGTTAGTACAGTTGGCCTCCTTTATAGTCACACCCCTTGGGACCAAAAAAAAAGGGTGTGATTATAAAAAAAGTCATATGTTGTGATTATAGAAGAGGTTTTTCTAATATATTTATTAGTACATTGGGCCAAAATATGGTGTGCTTATAAAGGGAATTTTATATGATATGATTATACAGGGGGTGACTATATAGGGGGTCGACTGTACTTATATTTTTATATTGAACTATTTGATATATAAATTAACTAATAAAATATTAATATATAGTTACTAGTTATTCTAAACATTACAGTTATACACAAAAACAATTATTATATAGTAGATTTTAATAATATTATTATAAAATTTTTTAATACTTCTATATACTTTTTTCTTTCAAAATATTAGCTATTATTAATTTTCCAATATAGTATTATTGTATAATGTTAATATTAAAAAGAGTTGGATTTTTTTGTAAAATTCATATTTTTATATATAAACAAAAAAAATTAATATATTAGAATTTTTTAAAAAATTTTCTATACTTTAATAAAAAAAATTATGATTAGTATAACTAATTTATATTATATAGGCGCTTTGCAGTAAAAAAGAATGAAACTACTGAAAAAATTCAAATTTTTTTTTATATGCCAAAAATATTCTAAATGCTATAATTTGTTCAGACTTTATATTAACTTATTTTTTATTTTTTTTAGTAGTTTCATTCCTTTTTACTGCAAAGCGCCCAATTATAATATTAGAAATATCAAATATATAGATTAATATAATTGTTTAATTAAAATAAATTTAGATGTAATAATTTTATTATATAGTTTATTAGATCCAGCATAATTAGTTATAAATAAATTGGATTTGTAATAGATAATTTAGTACAGTATTTAATAAAGTTTTAACCAAAATTTAAACATGTTTTAAATATATTAAAGGTTATTCAAAATCTATCCAAAATTAATAGTTTTGAATAAACTTCTCAATATTAGTTTAGTATATTCAAATTTTAATTCATTATATTCAGAGTTGACTGTAATTTCTTTTAAATGGCAATTGTTAAACTATATTGTAAAGTGTATATTTTTTACTTTTTAATCTATTAATTTAAATTTAAAAGAATCTTTTTTAATTGAGTTAGTTTGTTATTTAGCTTTAATAAAATTAGTAAACTGCTTTAATTATTAAAAAAAAGAGAAATAATAATAAAAATAAAATATATAAATAATAATTGTTTTTATTAAAAACTTTTTAAAAAAAAAAATAATAAAGAAAAAATCAGCTTAAAATATTTTAGAAAAAAGTTTTTACCCAGAAAAATAATTACTATAGAAAAAATAAAATAATAAAGCTAAAATAAATTCAAAGTATTCTAAAATGCAAAATAATGATATAAAAATATATCATTTAGCAAATAGGCAACAATTTACTAGCAAATAAATAATAATTTTAGTATAAGATATGAAATATTTTATATGGGTTTAAACTAAAATTAATTAAATTGGTTTATTTATTTATTTTTTTTTCATTTCATATTTTAAATTATGGATAAGTGGCAACATAGATATTAAAGAATTTATTTAGCAATGTCTAATATTATTATCATTTATATATTTATCGATATTTTATAAAACAGAACGTTTAATTTTTAATTTTAAAATTGAACTAGGCCTGATTGTCACGCCAATGCATGACATAAATAAAACATTAAAACACTATAAAGCCGGCATGCTGACATAAGAATGAGTATTTTCTTTGAATTATAAAGATAAAAAGTTATGTAAATATTGCTCAAATATAGTTGTATTTTCTCCTTTTCTTATTTGATAAAAAAGTGACTTGTATCAATTAGCTGCGAATCAAAAACGATATTTTGCTCTAAATTTCAGTCATAGAGACGCATTGTATGACAACATATTTGTTTACACGAGTGTCACACGCACGCAACAATAAACTCAAAAAACTCGTCTTCAACTTTTTTTTTTACATTGTTTCTTTTTTTTTTTGATCTCTTTTTTTTTGGTACTTGATCTTTTTTTTTAGTTCTTCTCTCCTTTTGGGTACAAAACAACTTTTTTTTTTAGTTGAAAAAAAAAGTATGTCGAACGCTTCATTAAATGCAAACGGTAAAGTTCCTTCAACAGAAGGACGCGATCCTGCCTATTTTTCGTATTATGCCATGCTCCAGCATCAGGTGGTTTTCAAGAACTTAGTTCCAAACGCGTCTCAAAGAAAACTCCTGGTGGCTTGTTAAACAGAGAGTTTTGTTTTAACAACAGCAAAATATGCTTCAAGATACAGTACGAACTTCCACTTACCGTTCGGCAATACTTTTGAATGGTCCTGTATGTTTCCATGATAAACTGGTCTTAGACGTTGGTGCTGGTATGTATATATTTGAGCCTTTAATTAATACATTTTAAGCTTACATTTTTTTGGTATTATTTAGGTTCGGGTATTCTATCATACTTTGCGGTTCAAGCTGGAGCGCGTAAAGTATATGCCGTTGAAGCTTCAAATATGGCCGAGAAAATGCAAAAAATTGTCGATGCCGCTAATGCTTCAGGAAATGAAGTCCCGGGAAAGAATGCTTTCTTAAAAGACAAGATTGAAGTTGTTCAAGGTAGGCCCTTCCTGTTCTATAACCAAAGTATAGTATAAATAACTAATTCTTTTTCCTGGTTTCATTAGCCAAAATTGAACAACCGAATCTTCCGATTCCTCAAGTGGACACAATTATTTCTGAACCTATTGGAGTTTTGTTGATCCATGAGAGAATGGTAAGATAATATACGCAAGAATCTTTCTTAATATTAAGTTCTTGCGTAGATTAACACTATATGCATATATAATATACCGTAAACAAATAAATTTTTTTCTCTTAAAGTCAAGTTACTAACCTTTTGTAATAATTTCTTTAATATAAATATAATCTAATCATTGATTCTTATGCATGTAAAATGAAGCTTGAAAGTTATCTTTATGCTCGAGATCATTATTTAAAACCTGGGGGAACACTTTTTCCTTCAACTGGATCAATATTTCTTGCTCCTTTTACAGATGCTGGTTTATGGAGTGAGACTATGGGTAAAGCCAGATTCTGGGAACAACAATCTTTTTATGGTGTAGATTTAACTGCAGTATATGCTGATGCCAAAGATGAGATGTTTGGTAAGTGCACATTTTTTTGAAAGCGTTCTCTTTATGATTTAATTAATAATTTTCTCTGTAACAAAACGAATCGGTAAAGGCATGCCGGTTGTTGGAGGATTTGATCCACGTACCTTAATTGCGCCAGCTAATCCTGGTGGATATCTTGTTGATTTTTATACAATAACATTAGAAGAATTGCGAGATTTCACAATACCATTTATTTGGCAAGCATCATACACGGGAATTATTCACGGTATAGCAGGATGGTTTGATTTACAATTTTCACCACCGGCCACAATACAGAACGGTAACCCAATTACTATGACAACAAATCCAACAGCAGAAAGAACACACTGGCAGCAAGTTAGATTCTTGTTAAAAGAGCCATTAGCGGTTAATGCGGGGCAGACTATACAAGGGTGGATGAGATGTATTGTAAACGAAATGAGATCATATACTATAGAAGCTGAAATATTATTGAATGACGGTACTAGTCAATTGTCAGATCCATTATCGTCTCCATCACCTATACTTAATTTAGATTATAATAGAAGAAGAAATAAATGGAGATTACATGAACAAACTTACAATTATAGTTATTATCCACAAACTGGTAACGATAGTATTTTTAGACCTGAATATAGTTGTTTATATGAGCCCGAACAACCTTTAGATGTTACTGTTGTAGTTGAAAATAATCTGTTGGATGATGCTACTAATAATGGTCAATTTGTTCTTTAACTTTGCGAAAATTTTTTTGCAAAAAATTGAATTTGATGTTACCTATATAGAATTGTTATTTTAAGGAAGAATTAGAAATAATATTTTTATTATTTGAAGAAATATATTTATTCTTTAAGAATTAAAGTATATAGAATAAATATTCAACGAAAATATTTGTGAAATAAAATTTTTTCATTGTCGTCTGATTATACATGGAAGTTTTATCTAAGTGATATTGTAAAGTTACTTATAAATAAGTTTCACTTTAGGCATTACTAATCAATCAGTGTTATAATTAAAATAAAGCTATATACAAGTTAATCTTCATCCCAATTAGAGTTCTGTTGAGGAGGTTTAGGTCCACCAGCAGGTTTACTCATGATAATCTAGTTCCAAAAACAGTAATTATGATATTAGCAGGATATCGCGACAAAAAACCAATTATCGATATGTGAAATACCTGATCAACTCTTAAAACAGTCAGTGCAGCCTCAGTAGCAAATTTAATAGCCCAGTGTTTAGTTATTAAAACATCTAAGACGGGATTAGGTAATTTAGTAACATCAACAATATCATCATTTTCAATGTCAATACCAACACAAGCGCCGGATTTATCATCCTCAGTGGCTGAAGTGGATTCATTGTGGTGAGCCGAATAAAGTTTCGGTAAAATTTCTGTAACATCTAAACCACTATTTTCACTTAAAGTACGTGGAAAAGCTTCAAGTGCTTCAGCGAATGCTTTAATTGAATGTTGGTTGATACCGGGAGTTTTCTATCAAGAATTGACAATTTTCAATAAATTATTTTTTTTATCGCAAATGCTTTAATTTATATATACCTCTCCGAAAGAAGTTAATTGTTTAACTAATTCCATTTCAGTAGCACCAGCGCCAGGAACGAGGCGAGGATCTCTTGTAACAGCTTTAACATTATTGACACCATCGTCAATAGCACGTTCAATATCGTCAAGAACATTTTGAGTAGCACCACGAATAACAATAGTAGCAGTTTTTGATTTTTCGTCCTCTGTAAATTCGCGTAATTATTCGTATGCACAGAAAAAAAATTAAACATATTGTTTGAGAAAAAAAGGCCTCACAGTATTTGTTACCTCACCTTGTCTAAAGACCGTTACTCTATCACCACCAATCTCAACAGTTTCAACAACATCACAATGGCCCATTTCTTCAGCAGTAGGTACACCCAATCTAGCTAAAGCTGTAGCACCAACAACTCTACATAATCTTCTTAAATCAAATTTTGACAAAACCTTCACTACCATAATGTTAAATCTATTTAAATAATGTAAGGCCAATTCACCAACAGAACCCCCCGTCACTACAACTTTTATACCAGCTGATTCAAATTCTTTAAAAATTTTTTCGATTTGTTCCTCTTCACCTTTAGTAAAATTTAACATTTCTTTTGCATTATGAATTAATACTGTACCTTTTGTTTCAGTTTGAGCTAAGTCTAATGGGCATGTAAATATTGCTATTTTTGATTTCAATGATTTATTTACAGTACCTTCAGATTCTCTACCAAATACCATACCTTTTACTACTTTACTTTCATAAATATTACTACCCATAATTTTTACTATACGTACGCTATCTACATTAAAATGTTGAGGATTTTTTGGTAAAACCATTAATGTCGCGTCAATAACTAAATTAGTAAGTAAATTTTCATATCCTGATTGTTTTGATGCAATTGATGTTTTAATTGATTTCTCTAATTCACTTCTTGATTTACAATCGTTCACACTATCAACCGATAATCCTATATATGTTTTGAACAAATAAAGCACATAATTAACGTAAAATGTATCAAGTAATGACTTTAATAATCAATACAATAAGATCCCAAAATTCCTTACCATCTAAAATTTCAGAAGCTTTGTTACTTGCAAGTTCATACCCTTGAACAATTTCACTTGGATGAAGTCCCATTCTAAGAAGATTTGCGGCTTTTTGGAGGAGTTCTCCTGCAAAGATCAAAACAAAATTTGTACCATCTCCGATCTTTAAATCGAGATAAAAAATAAAAAATAAAATTTTAATTAAGCTCAAGTTTAATGCCAAGCATATACGCATATAAAAGGTGAACCATCAATACAATTAATTAGTTCCAGAAAACATACCTCCTGTTCTTGTTGCTGACTCGCCATTACCAATAATTTTGCCGCAGGATGTACAACTTCTAATTCACGAATAATAGTAGCTGCATCATTGGTAACAAAAAGTTTCTCAAGATGATTGATAACCATTTTGTTTCGCCCTATTAAATTTAAAAATTAACGATTTATAATGTTAAAATAAGCCTAAATACATATATACACGTCTTAACGTGGCCATACCATTTGGTCCAAAAGAGGTTCTAACAATTTCTGACAATTCATGGACAGCTTGAATATTTTTCAATACAGCTTCTTCAACACCTTGAAGGTTCTATTTTAAACCGAAATATGTATTTAATATTATAAAAATACGCGGCATCAAACAGTAGAGCGTTCTATATTTATTACGACTTATCGGTATCCTATCACTACTACTACCAGTATAAAAGTTTACTCGTGTCAATAAAACATACATACCTTATAACCTTCTTTAAATAATTGAGGATAGCTACTCTTCGGGACTTTTAAAGCCATCTTTTTTATGAATAAAAACTATCCCAATAAGATACTCCCTATATATAGGCGAAAGATCTATGATTATGTAATTAGATCCTCCAATAAAAAATGTTTAAAATTTTTCTGTTGAAAAAAAAAACCTCTTTTTTAAAAAATGGCACAAGGTCCTCTTGCGAAAAAGTTCAAAGGCTCAGTCAATAAAAGAATTATAAATAAATCAAAATCAAATAGTAATAATAGTTCAAGTCACGGACTTGGGCCAAAGAAAGGAGGTAAATTTATTCAGTTTATAAAAAAAAAATTACGTGTTTTAATTTTTATTTATTTATTTAATAGCAAGATCAATCGCACCAAAAAAACAATCATTAATAAAACAAAAAAAAATGCATAAGGTACGTAATATATATTTATAATTAAATAATCGTTGAAAAAGATTAGTAATTTTTAATTAAAAAAATTATTAGAAATTGACAGCTGCTATAAATAAAAATATTGAACAAGTAATCGCATCTAGAGCTGAAGCTGTCGATGGTGGCCAGAAATTTAGTATTATAAAATTAAATAGTGATAAGGATACTAAGAAACCAAATCAGGAAAAAAATAAAAGTAAAAAATAATAAGTAAATTACTTGAAAACATAATTCTGTTTGGTTTAATTATAATCACTTATACATTAAAAATTAATTGGTTATACTGATTCTATCGTAAAATTTATCTTAATAAAATAATCTAGGAAATTTGCTTCTAGAAAAATTTATGAGGATAATTAGGCATTAAAAATATCTAGTGTTACATATTAAATAGTTATCACTAAAAAGTAAATTTTCATTCATCACAAAATGACCAGACCTTAACTATTCCTATATCTTCCATACAATTTAATTGAGAATCAACTTTTGTTTCAGTTGATGATAAACCTACCCATCCTGGTGGAGGACCTATTGGCCCCTTTCTGGAACCATTATTTTTAATATTGCTTTGTAAATTGTTCTTTAAATTAGTACCGCCACAAACACTAACAATTCTTCCCTCGTCAAATCCGACCCATTTAATCCCTAAATTATACTTTTCAAATTCTCTTATATTATTTGAAGAATCATTTAAAGTCACAATACATTCACCATGTTTCTTTCTTTTTGCTGTTATTCCAACTGTTGAAAATTCAGTATCTCGATAAAGACTATGGTGATAATTTATATCTTTTGCATCATTATCATAATCTTTACTTCTTCGACGTTCATTATTTTTCACTAAATTCCATCCTAAATCCCATATCTTAATTGAATGATCCATAGAACCGGTTATTAACTTACCATGTTCATCCAGAGCAACACTCATAACACTTCCTGTATGTCCATATAGTGTACATTTATGTTTACATTCTAATTTTGTTCCTTGTTCTAGAACGTAATAAACTTGTAAAGTGTTATCGCAGTGTGCTGTAACTAATTGACCACTATTATACGTGATAGTCGTAATTGGAGCAAATGAAAATTGCTCTATATTATCAGTGAAATTATTTTCTGAAAGAATAGGGATAAAGGATGGTAAAGATGAACAATGACGTGTTGATATCAACCGTGTAGCTGAAAATTTTATTTCCTGAATACCCACTGTCCAACCACCACCATATAATGGAGCCGAATAAGCAACTATTGCTTTCCAAGAATCTTGAGGCTCATAATTCATTGAAGTACATTGCGTAGAATCTGTTGTAATGCACTCTACAGATATTTCTACTGGTGTCCAGCAAACAAAACTTCTTAGTTGATGAACAAGTCTACACTCGACTCGTCCAATCGATTTTTCATCGGAACTTAATAGAGTATTAACTTCTGACTTATAATCAATAAAGTATATTGACAACTCAAAATCTTCAGTACATGTAACTAAAACTGGGAAATGTAATGCACATGCAATAAGTGGACTTCGTGTATAAGGCAATCTATGCGAAGACATCGTTGGCAAAGTATAGATTTCCCGGTGCCTCCATTTTCCTATGTCATTATTTGACCTTTCTAATGAATCAATCTCCCAGATAGTAAAACCTCCACTTGAATATCCAGCTACTAATTTATGTGTTTCTGTGTCATCTTTCCCTTCATTACTATCTAACTTCAAACAAGTAATGGTAATTGGGAATTTAGACTTCTGTATTTTGATCTCTTTATGCAAAACTTCACTGCGCAGAGTATCTATATGTTCATTCTGTTTCCCAACACGCCAAAGATGTACTTCAGGTATACTATTAATATCATTAATACCAGAAAAAGAAGCGGTTAAAATAACATGCCTGGTAAACTGGACAAGAGGATTAGAATTAGTATTAACGGGAGGACTTGAATGAAATCGTGTAAAGAAATTAATAGGTGAAGGGATATCCCGCGTCTCTAGCGATTCTTCATGCGAAACTGAAGATGATGATGAGAAAACATCTTGTTTTCGATCTTTGTTCAAATTAACGTAAGGTTTGAAATCAATCACACGACAATTTCCCGTTTGCCAATTGTGGCTGACTCGATATATATTTTTCCAATCTTCCTCATCTGCCTTATTAGTGCATGTCTCATCTGGTAACATCTGGGATTTAGGAAAGCCATTAATTTGTGATGGGATCATTTGAAGACTTTCAAGGCGATATGTAAGATTGGGACGTTTTGGAGCTTTAAAACGTGATAGGAAAAGATCTTTCCATAACTTTTAAATGCGAATATATTACAAATTAGTATTTTTTTTCAAAATTACCGCATTTAAATTATTAGGCTTACTTGACGATCGTTTGTCAATCTCCACCATTGCCGAGAAACTAGTGCGCAAATACTTAAATCAGCAGCTGACAAATACTTAAAAACATGAAGGTTAAGTTCATCAGAGAATATTTTTACAAAATCTCGTTTATTTTCTTTAACACAGTCAATTCTTTTCTGAGCAACATGATTCTGTTTAGAACGTTTATATATTGGCTCATGCTGTGCTATATCTAGTTTTGATTTTTGGTAGGACATTTGAAAAAAATGAAAGAACTACCGACAGAATTACATAATTTACGTGTCTGTCTAACTTTTAAAGCTTGACAGTCCCACGTGGTTCACACAAGTATCCAACCAATCATTAAACAGACCAAAAGAATAAATTTTTTTTTTGATTCTGATTTCGGTAGTTTTTTTTTTAATAATTTCTCCCTTGGTCACCGCTGTCTTCCATTGGTTTTTTTCAAAAAAAATCACAAGAAACCATGAGTTACGTCGCTAAGGGTAAAGATGAATTTGTTGACGAAGCACCTAAAGTAAGAATCGTATTATTTTGTTGCCAAATCTAAATTAATTTTAATTTTATTCAAATTAAAATTCTAGGTGCATCGCATCCGTATTACTTTAACTTCTCGTAATGTTAAAGCTCTCGAAAAAGTTTGTTCGGATCTAATTGGAAGAGCAAAAGAAAAACAATTGAGGGTTAAAGGACCTGTACGTCTTCCTACTAAAGTTTTGAGAATTACTACTCGCAAATCACCTTGTGGTGAAGGTAGTAAAACTTGGGATAGATATGAAATGAGAATTCATAAACGTTTGATTGATTTACATTCTCCCAGCGAGATTGTGAAGCAGATCGTATGTTAATTTATATAACTTTTTTTTGTTTTTTATTATATTTACATATATCTAATTTATTGCTCTTAACCGTTATTTTTTTAGACCTCCATCTCAATTGAACCTGGTGTTGAAGTTGAAGTTACTATCGCTTCTTAAACTATAAATATGATTATTAATCTTGATTATATCAAAGAATGATATAGTTGAAAATTGAATAAAATAGAGCAACCTTATTTGCTTTTTTATTGATTATACATAGCATATTGTTTATTTATTGATAAATCTGTAAAGAGTTGATTAAATGCATTTATGATTAATAGGAATCAATTTCATGTAATTTGAAAATTAAAGAAACGCATTTTAATTGAATTATCTGACAAGCCAGTCACTTATGACGATTTTTATTTCATTCGCACTATTTCCACCACGTTGATTCTTTGAATATATGATAGATAGACGTTCTTTAGCTAGGCCATTCAAATCAGAAATCGTCTTCATATCAAGAGAAAATGAAGAATTCGTTGAAGATGATGCTGATGAAGTGATAGCACTGGTAGGTAAATTTAAAAGACGGGACGTACACTATAAAACAAATAAATTAATTTATAAAATATCAATAATAAAAGTTGACACGAAGAAATTTATATAAATACCAATTTAATTCCTAATAATGCTCTAACATTATCCTCGCACAATTCTACCACACGACAAAATTCTTTTAATGCTACGGTGATATTATCGCTAGTATATAAAATTTCAGCATATTTAAGATGATAAAAGTGATTTTGTGGTTGAAGTAAAATAAGTTCTTCAAGACAAAATCCTGCCTGTTGGTACCTTAAAAGAAAGAAAAGAAAAATAATAATATTAAATTAAAATATTCGTATAATTATTTTCTGATAATTTACTTACAAATGAAAACTTAAGTATAAAGCTGATAATTCTAGCCATGATTCAGCATCACTATAAAATGCGTCAAGGTATTTCGTTAAAGCTTCAATTGCTTGCTGATCCTGTCCCTTGGCTTTATATACTGCAATTCGGCGCTTTATCGCCGCCTGAATAAAAAAGGAAAATATTAATGATAATTAACAAATTTTATACTTCGGTTTTTGTTACTTACTACATTTGCATCATCGTCTTGTAAAATATTTTCGTACATAGACAAAGCAGCATCCAGGTTGTCTTCAGCTTCCAATTTCATTCCCTTCAAGATCTTTACGCGAGGCGATTCTGGAAATCGTTTATCTAAATTTTCAAGACATTTCTTTTGATTTTTCATAAACAACTATTTAATTTTCGTTCGTACTAAAATCAAATTTGATTTAAATATTTCTCGATCACGTACAGTGGCCAATGTGTCATTTCCTAAGTCAAGTGCAGCGATGAATATCTGTTCATATACCGCCCAAACTAATTAACAAATCATTCGATTAACTATAATAATAAGTGAAATATATAACTCTACGAAAATCTAAACGAACCTTCATCACCGAGTTTGCCAGCATAGCCTTGGTGAATCAAGTTTTCACCTAAAGTAACAACAAGATCAGATTTCCTCTCTCCACTTTTGCGTAGTTCATGGAGGGTTGTAACTGCTGTTTTATAGTCAAAAGACACCATCATTAAATTTAAGAGATAAGTATTGATTTGATAGGTAAAGTATCGTTAAGTAGATAATTGTACAATTTGTACAATTAAGCTAAAAAGGCAAATGGCGGGATGATGAATAAGCTAAATTCGGTCAATCAATAAATAATTATTAATAATAGATTGATATTTGTCGTGAAACTAATACATGCAGGGAAAACTGATAATTGATGAATCTTTACACGTTATTTAGGTTATCAGTTTTATATTATCAGATGGAATTTTACCTTGTATACAATCACATTTTTTTACTGAGAAAAAATAATTTTATTTAATTTTCTGAGCTTATGAATAAATTATTAGAAATGCCAGAAATAGAACATGATTATGAAACTTTACCCGAAAACTCTCCTTTGACTGCAAATCTGATCGCTGGTGCTTTAGCTGGTATAGGTGAGCATGCGATCATGTATCCTGTAGATAGTGTAAAGGTACTTTCATTTTGATCTCAAATTTATTAAATCATTTTTAGTCATTTCAGAGTATTTGTATGTATTCTTATAATTTATTTATAGTATTTATTTTGTACATATGACAGACTAGAATGCAAATCTTGAATCCAACACCGCAGGCAGTATATACGGGTGTTGGAAATGCATTTTCCCGTATTGCTTCAACAGAAGGCGTTCGCACCTTATGGCGTGGAGTTAATTCAGTGGTTCTGGGTGCTGGTCCTGCACATGCCTTATATTTCGGAACATATGAATTTTGTAAAGATCTATTTGGGGCAAATGCAACGCAAGGACATCATCCATTTGCGACAGGTATTTTTCTTTCGAGATCTTTATTAACTATCACCCTTAAAGAGTTCAAAATTGACGAAATCAACAATTTCTAGGAACAGCAGGAGCATGTGCAACAATAGCGAGTGACGCATTAATGAATCCATTTGATGGCAAGTATCATAAGTTCTTTATGTTTTTTTTAGTCAATAATTCATTTATTTAAAATATTGTTTTTTTACAGTTGTTAAACAACGAATGCAAGTCCACGGGTCAACGTACCGTAGTGTAGTTGAATGTGCCCGTACAGTATATGCAAATGAAGGATTGATAGCTTTTTATGTATCTTATCCTACGACACTTACAATGACCATTCCCTTTCAAATGTTTCAATTCAGTTCTTATGAATATTTTCGCAAGGTATTAAACCCGAAGGGGCAATACGATCCAAAAACTCATGTTATAGCTGGTGGTCTTGCGGGTGCAATAGCCGCTGCTGCAACAACTCCTTTGGATGTTGCTAAAACCTTATTACAGACACGGGGGAACGCTACAGATGTTCATGTTCGAAACTGTAGAGGTCTCTTGGAGGCCTTTCGAATCATTTACGAACAAAATGGTATAAGGGGTTTCATTAGGGGTTTAAGACCAAGAGTATTGTCTCACATGCCTTCAACTGCTATCTGTTGGTCGGTGTATGAATACTTTAAGTGGTTTATTAATTCGCATGATCGAAATAAAATACCTATAATATCCACTTGAAAAATTAGAATTCTAGGAAGTAAAGGAGAAAATGGAAAGGACATTTAATATTTCATTCACTTATTTTATTATTGTCTTTTGACCAATAGAAGATATTGCGATTTAAAAAGACAATTATTAATTATCCAGTTTGAAATTATTATTGTTATTATTATTGTTGTTATTATTATTATTTTTATTATTATTATTATTTCAAATTTTTTTTTTTTAATTTTTTTTAATGTTCAAGAAGAAATCGGTTTATGGTTTGTTTAATTAACATTAACATATTTATACATAAATTTTGTGATATGATTTGATAATTCGAAAATCATTCGATTTTTAAATAAAAAAAAATTTCGATCATTGTCCAACAATAGTCGTGCGGATCGGATTCTTTTGTTCACTTACATGACAACCAATCGTATTTATTAATATTTTCCGGTACTAACAAACCGACCCAAGAGCCAATAATTTCGTGGAAAATTCAGCGCCGTCCAAATGATCGACATCTCTGGATTTCAAGCCGGTTGATTGGCATCCCGGGAACTATGGGTGAAACTAGTAGTAAAACCAGCTACTGTCTTTTTTTTTTCTTTACATTTTGACTGGACTGAAATGGACTGCTCAGATAATACAGACAATAATAGCAATAACGGAAACCCAGAAGAAAATTCTGATTTTGAAATTAGTGACATTTTGAACTTTGTAAGTATAAGTTTATATTTTATAATGCTATTGTATTGAATTTAATCATATTTTACACTCTTTTGTTTTTGTTATTATATTAAGTACACCGAAAAGGGGTCTGTAACTGACCCACAAAGTATGACTTTCAGCATTTCTGGCGAAGAACATACTTTGGGAAATGCTTTACGATACATCATTATCCAAAAGTAAGTGTTTATGTTATTTCATAATTTGTCTAACATAAAAATAACCTATCATTTATTAAAAGTCCTGAAGTAGAATACTGTGGTTATTCAATCCCACACCCATCGGAGGATAAACTTAATATAAGGATTCAAACAACAGGTAGGTATAATTGTTAACCATGTTCTATAATTTGTAATCATCTCTCATCTTTTACTGTCTGTGTTATTTATTAGAGAACACAACGGCAATAGATGCAATGCGTAAAGGACTTGAAGATTTAAAATCATTATGTGCCAAAATATCTGAAACATTTTATAAGGCTAATAGAGATTTTGATGAGAAAAATAATATTTCTTAACATTTTGTTATACTATTTTGAAGAGTCAAATTTCTAATAACTGTCTTTGTATTTAGCATAAAGATTCTTTCTTTAGTTCCGCTTATTTGTATTTGTTATAATTTAATGATTTACAAGATACTTTTGGTCTTTCCTGGAAACAATATTTTCGATTTATTTCTCTTATCTGTTCTCCGGGATGATAATTAGCGGAGGCTACCACCAGTGATTGGTGCAATCTTAAAAAAAACCAGTTTATTCTTAGTATATAGTACAAGAATGATAGCAGAATTTACATTATCATAGTAAATTACATCATCAAGCTTGGTACTTGGTACCTTCGGCTTTGACTCCAATATTATTAGTAATATAGCAGAAGATGTATTACTAGGCGGAACAGCAGAATTAGGAAGCTATTTATCTTAGGAACTTTGATCAGACATTTCTTGTAACACATCAATAATAGTCAATATAAGTAAAGTTACTATAGATATCTTATGACAAGATCATAGCTCTATCGAGAAAACCCGAAGGAATATCCGGGATCATTGACGTTTCTATCTATTTTTATGACGCAATTCTTGCATTTTACGTTTCTGATCTCCAAATACTCCGAATGTTTTTATACAAACTACATGTCTTTGGCGTGTAAGTCTCATAAATATTGAGCCTTACACTGATTTTCACAGGTTGCGGTCTTATGTGACTTGTTCAACCGCATTTGAAAACCTAAAGTGGGAATAACAATTTTTCTCTGTTTCAAATGAAACGGGCGCAAATTACACTTTAATCCATTGTATTTGTGATGATCATTTTTAAAAATGTCAGTTCCATAGACAAAATAAGACTTTAGTATTTTTATTTAAGTTAATAATCAATAAAATTATTTTTTAAGTTATTAACTTTCAAATCTTTTTTTATTAATACAATATAACTTCATGATATATATATATATATATATATATATATACATATTATATGTATTGCTATTCTAATCTTTCCGAGGTATTGTATGTCGCTTACTATAACTTTCAATGTCTTTTATCATTTTTTAAAGGCTTAAAATTTTACTTTTTTTAACCATTCGATATTCTCTGCATCCTTTTGCACCTTAAGGATTTTTGATGTAGATTCATTATTATTTGAATAAATTCATCAAAAGAAGGTTCTTTATCTATCTCCACATCATCTTTATTATTGATTGCATGCCGTGCCAAATGTTCCGTTGTTACTAAATGTTCATTTTCATTTGGAATTATCAAAAAAAGGTATGATTACGCTTAACTAAGGTGGAAAGAATTCGTATCTAGGATATTACCATTAAAATGGGCGTCCACAAATCCATTTAGAGTTTGAAGCTAACTTTTCTACTCTGTTTTAATTCCACAAATTAGTACGTTGCTCGCTTTACATGTTTTTTTTCCATCAAAAAGTCAAGAGAAGTACGTTTTTTAACATCCAGAACATGATTTTACTAGATTACTTGAATCCAGGTTTTTATTAAACTTTAAACTTTGGTAAAGAGATGAATATGAAATTTATTTTAGAAATGATCGACGTCACAATCACGTGAGCATTACATTTTTCTGCGGACTTTAACTTTATTAATCTTAGTAACGAGTAACCTTTGGTTAATGAAAATAATTAGTGATCTATAATTCCGATAATTACAAGTCTAGAATACTGAGATAACAAACACAATATATTTTTATTTTTGCAAAAAGGTTGAACCTAATGGTCAAGCGTAGAGGTACTTGAACCTCTGGAAGATCTTGTAGATTTTGTAGATCCTGTAGATCTTGTAGATCTTGAGGATCCTGAGGATCTTGAGGATCTTGCTATTGGTTAGATTACAATGAATTAAAAGGCAAGTTTTAAAGAAACTTTCATACGTTCAAACCTATCAATCTTAACTTACTTGATTTACTTGACTTTTTAGTCTTTTGTGCCGCTTCGGCCGCTTTTTGCATTGTCTCTTCTTGTTCTTGACTTCGCTTCCTATGATCTTCAATTTTTACTTCAAATTCTTCGATAATTTGTTTCATTTCCGGTCTTTGCCCTTTAACTGCTTTTGCCTGAAATTCATATTTTTATAATTAGTTGATAATATATTAAGTAATGTGTGCCTCAGAAGTACCAACCTTTCCTATGATTTCTGTAAAGTATTTGTACACATCATTTTCATTTAATTTATCCTGGTAATGTGCTAACCCTTCGGTTAACTTTTTGAAACTTTTTTCGGTCTTGTAAGGAAGTAATGAAAGACAATAAGCAATGTCACGCCACTGTCTTCTATCATCAAGATTTTTAAATCTTTGACATAACTTCTCCACCACATTTTCTGTTTGTTTTTCCTATTTAAAGTCGATATAAAGATAATATTAAAAAGATTTAGGAGTTGACAATTTATAAAAGCTTTACCTTTTCAATAAAATCAAATAAAAATTTCATAATTTTCTTAAATGATTCTTCGTTGACCGTATTTTCACCACTAGAAAGATTACTGATTATATCCGGTAAATTATTATATACCGCATTGTCTTTTGATGCGAGTTCAGTGAAAAATAGTTTTGCAAGATCACTGATCCTTTGCTCACTATCTTCTAAGCATTTAGCCATTTCTCCTAATTGGCCCTTAACCTTAATCATTCCGTTAAGAATTAAATGAGTGAGCACCATTAATGTGTTTTTCTTAACTAAATTGTCTGGATCCGAAAGACGATTATAAATATAATTAATGTTTTCATTAATTATATTATTAAAGCACACAGTCATGTCGCCTAGAGCTATAATAATATTACTACGGATTGTAGGTTCATTTGACCTTTCAAGAATTGTGAAAAGTAATTGCAAATTGTCTTCACAAAACCCTGAACTCACACACATTAATTTTGCTAAAGCAAGCGTTGCAGCAATTTGCAAATTATGATGCTAATAATTAAATAAATATTAGGAAAAAATATATAATATAAAAACGGAAATAATGGAGGACTTACATTATAAGTTTTATTGTTGGCGCATATGCTTATAATTAAAGGACCAAATACTGCTAACAACGAATTTGGATCGAATAACAATTCTTGTTCGCGAATTTGTGCTATTGCTTCCCCATACTCATCTTCAGTAGTTCCAACTACCTGCTCTAATTCATCATCCCCAGGATTCTTTGCTGATTTTTCTTTATCTATCCGTTTATTATAAAAAAACCCATAATATTCGTCATAAAGTCCTTTTCTTTTTTTAATATGTAATATTAATATACCTTTAGATTCGGCTTCAGCTTTACGTCTTTTCCACTCTGCTTCAATTACTTCCAAATGAACAATTTGCTTAATGGCTACATGTCCAACTATAAATATAAGTTGACTTAAATGGAGTGGATTTGCCAGGAATGGCTCTTGGCTCGTAAGAAGGCTTTCTTCATCAATTTCCATGTAATTTTCATTATCAGGTATCTTAAGATCAAAGACTAAAGTAGCTTTTCGTTTAATAATGTCACCACATAAAATATCTGGATGCTCTCCAAGCAAATATATTGCATTTATAGCTTGTTCAGTAACTCTAAACCTATAAAATAAAGGTAAACAATGTCATTATAGAATAGATTTACAATTATATTATATAATTACCATTCTTGTGATGTTGTCTGGAATTCAATAATTTGTTTTAGCCTTTGAAAAATCTGATGAGACATTGGTAAACGTATTGAATTATCGGATAAAGCTCCTATTTTAAAAACAAAGAAACACGTAAGATGTCAAATTTTTTGTACACCTCTGTTTGCGAATCTTACCTTTAACTTTAGTCTTATTGCCGGAAAGACGTTGTAAAGCAATGCAAGTATATTTTGCTAAAACCAAGTCTGTCTATAATTAGAATTCGCGCAAATTAATTATACGGATATAATTACTAAAAACAAATATTAAAATCTGGAGAGTTATTTTATTACTTTGCCAAATTGTCCAAGTCCAACCTTTAGAAGTAAATCGATTTTTTCCTGTACGATCTCCATTTTAGCTTTTGCAAGCATATTAAGTACTATGATCGCACCGCGTCTTTGCTCTTTAGATATTTCCCCCGTAGCTAAAATATTAATTAATTAAAATTAAACAGAATGACTAAAATGATTTAAATTAAGTTAAAAATTGTGAACACTTGCAATAAATGGACCATAATCTGTTGATAACATTGTCGCTTATAACAGCTTCTTCTTCTTCCATAATTGTACTTAGGAGTTGTTCAAGAGACGTCAATTCAGCAAGTGTAGCGTTATATGTTAAACTATACTCAACATTTACAACATATTAATTATTTGTTCAATACTCAACATATTTTAAAGTTTTTTTTTTATATCATGTACCTTATCAGATTTTTAGTAACTATATTTACGTTCTCTTTCTCTGATATCGAAGTGTCTGGATCGATATATAATTTTCGATAACTTTCAATCAGACGTTTTCTAATACTTTTGCCCTCATCATTATTGTCTTTTGTCCAGATTAAATGTAACATCTTTTTAATTCCTTCACCAGCTTTTTCAATCTTATATAATTGAGCCGTTTCAAAGAATTCAATCCCCTCAATCACTTCCGACTTTGTGGTAGAAGCAAGAAGTTGGCAAAGTGTTGGTATTGCTGTATGAATTTGATGAATGAATCGAACAGCGTCCGCATTAAAACGTTTTATCAGATGCAATTTCATAATTTCATCGGATGATGATAATTGAGGAGTTGCTGTTGCTTCCATCATTTCGATATCTTCACCAAGAGTCTCTACTTCACTATTCGTATCTTCATTGTCATTTTCCGTGAGAGCTTCAGCACCAAATTCCACAAGTTCTTGAGGTGGTTGAATTGCCTTAATAATTTAAAATATTCCGATTAATATTATTCGACTTACTTATTTTCGAAAGCGGCTAATTCATACCTTCAAGTCCTCTTCAGCTTTATTTAACCGCTTTTCCCATTCTTTAATAGACAATTCACCTCCGTGCATAATACCATAAGGATGTGTTGATATTAATTTAGTCAACAACTTAATAGCATTTTTACGGACTAAACTAGCCTTATCCTCCAAACAACGAATGGCCAGATTTGCGACTTTTTGCCGACGTTTTGGAAATTTTACTCTTAAGCTAAGTTCGTATAAATTCAAAAGTCATAAAGTTAATAATTAAATATCCTTTTTAAATAAATAAAAAAAATTGTGGATTATTACTTACTCCCAAATTTTAAAATATACTTGTAATACTTTAGAACGACAATAAGAATTCACATCAAGAAAGCGTTCATCAAGAATATCAAAAAACCCGCCAACTTGATGCATATTATTTGGTGCATTATCTTCCTGTTGTGCCAGATCATTGATGAGATTTCCAATTACTTCAATCAATCCACAGCGCATAGTATACGACTATAAAAGCATTAGTAAAATGACAGAACTTCCTTTTAAAATGCGAGATACCAATTTATATTCTTTATTACTTACATCACTATCTAAATGTTTTCTAAGAAGACCGATTTGTTTAATCACTACTTTTGGTGCTAGTGCAGACAATTTAATAAGAAATTTCGAAAAAGACTTCGGTCCGGTTGTATCTTGGCTATTAAATTCCTTATCACTTATTTCTCTAAAAAGTAAAAATTTCCACGGTTAACATAGATTAGATTCGGGTATGCTTAATATATTTTCATACCCTAATGTATTTTCCGCTAATTGTGTATGACCATATTGCTGAATAAGAACTTGAAGAAATTCTGCCATCGGTTCAGATAGATGTTCATAATATTGTAAATTTTGAATAATTGTAGTTTGTGCCCCTAAAAAAGAAATTTAACCAATTAATGTTTTGTTATTTCTGATATCATTTTGTGAAATTTATTATTATTTACCAAATGCATGATTATGCTCTTTGACACATATTGAAAGTATTGTATAAACGAGCGATTTTATGGATTTTATGGAAGATGGTTTAGTCATCGTAACATTTTCCAACATTCGATATGCTGATTTTGTAAATAAACTAACATTGAACCCGAAATTGACCCCGAAAAAAAGATCATAAAAGTCAATTATTTATCCAAATAAACTTTTGAACAACATAAATGAAACAATATGTACCTGACAAAAGTCTCTATTTCATGAGTTGAAGTCCAGATTTTTTTAATTCTAAGTTCCAACACCTTCGTCATTAAAGCTAGAACTTCCTCTCTTTGAGTAGACCAATCCCAATCTTCGTGATTATTTGATGTGGTTTTTGATTTAGGCTGTCTTGCTCTCTAATAAATAAAGAATAACTATGAATTCGTAATAATACATATTACCAATAGATCTAGCAAACAACTTGTTATAAAAACCTTTGTCCTCACGCCACTTCCTCCATTTGCATCATTTTTAGATACTGCTTTATCTTCTGCATTAATAATAAACCAATACAAAAAAAATCCATAAATTTCCAAGGCAACACGATGTTTGCTGTAAGTGCTTTCATCATCAGCATCTAAACTATCTGACGTATTTGCACATTCGCTTTTTAAGCCTATAATACATGTACAATTAATTAACTTATTTTTTAACTTAAAAATGTATTGAAATTATTTCACACCTGATAAGATTATATCAAGTACACGATTTAACGTAGCAGGTTTCAATGAATCAAAGTTTCTAGAAAAATAATAAATTCACTTATTAAATGTCTAATAAACTATTTGAAACAGGAAGAGATAAGGTCATTACTTTATGAAACTACATAAAACACTAAAAAGCTCCACATTTGCTATCGCATAAGAATACACGCTTATTTTGTCAACAATATCTGAATAACAATAAAAATAAAAGAAAGTTATAGCTCCAAGATGCAGTATGGTCTTATGCAAAAATTGAAAAAAAGATATTTTACTTTACCGTTCAACAACCTTTCGATTTCAGTGGCAGCCAAATTAGAAATTGGCAATTCATTTGAAATCGGATAAATGGTATCTTGTAATTTTACGATTTCCTCGCTTAAATCAAAGAAGTCAGCCATGAAACTCGTAAATGAAAATAAATTGCGAGTGAAGAAAAATCACGTTCTAAAAAAAAAAAATAACTATCGCGAATGACGTCATCATAAATCAATAGAGGAATGTGTGCCAGGTTGATGGCGCAGTGTGGCGCAGCGATTTTTCCAAAAAAATTAAATTACAATTTTTTTTTATTTAAAATAAACCCTTTAAATTCCTGCACTAGATGTATTTTCGTCCGCTCTGCAAATTTACTTAGAGAATATACAGGTGGTTTAGAAGGCCATTTTCGAGTTATTTAACAAAAACTGTTTTTTCAACAAATCCAATTTTGGAAATGATCGGCAAAGACGATAAAATTGGTTGTTATATACTAAAGTCAAAATCTACTTCCAAAACCTCCTTCCATTTATAAGTGAATTTTGTAAAACAGATGAAAATACATCTAATGCATAAAATTGAAAGCTTTACATTAAAAAGAAAATCTTTAACTTAATTTTTTTTTGAAATTACTGCGTCACACTGCGCCATCAACCTGGCACACATTTCAGACGTGCATCAATAGATCACGATACTTACGCGAATAAACATAGAAAGTATACTTCTTTAATACATATCTTTCTTTTAAGTTGAAACCATTGATTTTGAATTCATTTCTTTTCTTTATATATACTTCTTCTATTGCTTTTAAATTTTTCTTTCTCATTCTTTTGAATATTATTTCCAAATTTACAATTTTCATTATTCTTCCTTTTTTTTTAATGATGCAATTTTGTTTAAAAGTTTGAAGCACAAATTTACAACAAAACACTTTAAATAAGCTAACTTTCTGAACAACAAAACCTTTATTTGATATTTTTAGATTTTTTATTTTTAATATATATATCTAATTTGTACTTCATTTCTGAATTATTTTTCTTATAATCCCAAAATTTTATTATTACAATTAATTTTCTAATTTTTTTTCTTTAGAATTCATAACTTAAACTTTAATTGTAATACTTAAATTATTATTAAATTAAATAGAATCCTAGGACACTGAATTTTGCTATCTAAAACTAATTTTAATAAAATAGTGATTTCAGATTTAGTTTTGGTTATTCATCAATATTTTTATATAAAAAAATACAAAAAATTATATTAATTAATGTATTATTTTTTAACTAAAAAATTCAAAAATAGTTTGGCCAGTTTTAGGTATTAATTTTTTTTTTTTTTTATTTATTATAGATGTGATCTTGTCCTAATATAACTATACTTACATATATTAAACTTATAAAAAATAAGAAAAACAAAAAATATATAAGAATTAAGCATTATGAAATAAAACCACTCCTCTAAAAAAAAAGTCAACCTGTTACCTAAATGATTATATCATCATTAAAAACAATGATACAATCAAAAAATTTTAAGTGACTATCTAAAAATTTGCCCAATAACCTTTCCAATAAAATGCTAAATCATTCCATTTGTTCCAATTAGTTTTATTACTGAAAATTTCTATATTCACATTTTTCTTATCATATTTTTTACTATTTGATTTCATTTTTTTATCTTTACTACTAATCTTATATTTTTTTTCTTTCTCTATCTACATGCTATAAATAGCATGCATGTATAATTCTTTCTTTATTAGCTGTATGTATATACTATCTGATACAAAATAATGAAAATATAACAAATAATTCAATAAAACAATATAAAAGTAGTTTATATATTTTTCTTTCAAATAAAATTTGGCATATATAAATATTATCAAATATGAAATAATGTGAGAAATAAAAATTCAGTAGATATTATATTTATATATTTTTCTTTCTAATTAAATAGCTTTATATAAATATTATCAAATAGAGAATAATGTAAAAACAAATTGAATTAATTATTTATTTTTTCCATTTTGATAATTTTGTTTTTTAAACATTAGCTATCTCATAAAAAAAATAAAAAACAAAATAAGAATGACTAATTATATATATACTTATCTATATTAATACCATAACCTAGCCTGGATTTTATGACTTTTAATTGTATATTGGGCAATTACATGTTTATGAGTAATGCCATTTACTCTCTTTTTCCTTCTAATTTCTTTACAATAAAATATTAATGTATTTAAATTTTTAATACTGTTCAAACTTCTATGAAATTCCAATTTTGATATTAGTACTATTTTTTCAGTATTTTTTGCCACAGAGCTAATTTAACTTGTTCTTTAATTTTTAAATCTTGTAAAGTATTTGTTACTTTACCTATTATAGTAATTTTACAGGACCCTGCCTACTACTAAAATAGTTTACTGAAAGAAATCCAACTTTTATATATCCATTTTTTTTTCTTACTAATTAATCTTACCAACATTTCAGTTACTTTTTTAGATTAATATATAACTTTACCTTAAATTTTACAGTTACATAAATTTTATTATTTTATTATTTATTAATCAATTATATTAGTTTAGCATTAGTAAATACAATATACAAATACAAAATACAATATAATTAGTAAAAAAATTACAGAAATTAATTATTACTAATGCTGATAAATTATTTTTAAAGTGTTCATAATTACTTCTTGTTGAAAAAAAGAAAAAATTCTGTATTCATTACTATCAAGTTTAAGTATCTTATGATTAATAAAATTAAAAGGTAATATATTACCAAGATAATAAACAATATTTTTGGCTGATAAGTGAATAAATAGATTACTATTATCTATTACAAGTAACTGACATGTAAAATAATTTTCAGATAAATAATGATAAAAAATAATAGAGATGAATAAAAGAGAATCTACTGAATTTATACCAGAACATACAAAGAAATGCTGATTACTAATCTTTTGATACTTGGCAAGAATTTAGCAAATATAAAGTCTTTTACTTATATATACAATAATAAGTCTATGTTATTTTCTAATAGGCATTTTTCAGATACACTAGCACTTTTTAAGTTTTGTACTATTGTAAGAAAAAATAATAATTAATCATTTTTTATTTAAATTAAGGTCAAAATAATAGTATATAAATTACCTAAAATTGTTCTAGAAATGCTAATACTTTCTGCATGTTTTTCATCTTCTAGCGGTTAAATTTTAGTCAGTTTTTAATATAAGAATCATTTTTTTAAAGACTGCATACAAGTTTATTTGCAGTATTTCTTTCAATTCTATTTTGCGAACCTTTATTCAAATTTACAGCCAAATGATTTCAGATTTCTCGTAAATGATCAGCTTTTAAGAATGCATTATGTGATTTATAAATATTTAGTACTTTTAATATATCTAATTCATTATTATCATAAGAGTTCTTCAGATTCAGTTACTTTTGATAGTAAATTTGCACTTCTTTAGTGATTTAAAAAATAAATAATTCATTAGAATTGATTTTATCAACATTATTACATTCATTGTTATTATCTTTTTAATTACTTGATCAGACGCTAAATATTCATTCAAATTATCTAATTTATTATTAAGAAGTTCATCATTATTACTATTAATATTAGAATTTTCAGTAAGTTAAAACTTTTTATATTAATTAATATATGCTACTCAAGCCATCTTTTTTGCTACATCAACTAGTTGATCATTTTCAAAAATTAAATTATTATTAATATTGAAATTAGTTGCAGGATTTTTTTTATATATTCAACTTCAATTTCTGAATGAAAATTATAAACATATATAAAAGAGTATAAATCTGCTCTAAATTTTAATAAAGTCATTAGCCAAGCAAATTTTTTAGCATTCGCATAAGTGATTTAAATTATTTAATAAATTTCATTTTATATTGACCATTGGCGTAAGAGTTTAAAAAACCTCAATACTCATGTTATTTGAATCAAAATCAAAAATATAACCTAATTATTAAGAGTATTATTAGTTAAAGTAAATAATATTGAAAAAATGATTAAAATAAACTAAACAAATCTATTGCTGAAATTTTTTCTTTTTTCATACTAAAATTTCCAGTTTAAAGAATTTTGTTATAATGTATAACTCGTTAGAGGATTTTAAAAAACTCATAAAAAGTAAAATCTAGTATTAATTGATATGTAATTCCAAATACATGTTTTAAAACCTTTATTTCATACTCCCATGATAGTAGCAAATAGTCTTCATAATAATTACGATATGAAATAATTAATAAAATCAAGGATTTAACAAGACTTTTAAATATATTATAACTCTGAATTGAAATAAAACTTCAATTTATAGAATACCACTCTTTAGAAGTTTTTTTACTAGTTTTTTCAATATAGGATTTCTAAAAGTTAAAAAAGAAATAAACGCGCATGGCAGGACCCTAAACAATACTAATATAACTTACATTTAAGTTTGCGTAAAGTTTATATTAAAATTTTTCAAAAGTTGCGTATTACATATATATTTTCAAAATTTTGTTATCCTACATACCCTTGTTTTTAATACAACCAGTGATTTAATTTTAATTAAATTTATGTCATTGGATTCGTCTTGATGAGAGGATTTTAATGACAGTAAAATTGCATTTCTAGCTTCAATATTGACAAAGTTATGTCATAAAATGTATTTTCACTTCAGTACTTAAAGTTTACTTGTAAGTTATATTAGTATTATTTGGGGTCCTTGCATGGTTATAATTATTCTAGTCTTATAACTAATTTTACAATTTAAATAAGCATCAAAGAACTTGCCTAAATAGAATACATTTAATAAATTAATTAATTAATCAACAAATTTATTAAAATACTAAAATTTATATCATCTACCTATCTAAGATAAATAAATACACAAATAAACTAAACTTTTCCAGATCAATAACTCCATTATCTTGGCACATCCTAAATAATTGTGAATAGAATACACAAAAAGCTGCACTATGATCCTGGTTGCCAACATTGTAAACATCATGAGTGCAGAGCACAGAATTTTCCCTCTTCACAATATTGCAGAGTTGATTATATATAATGAACTATATTATTTCTCAACATACTAAGTAATTGTATTCCATAATAAATTTGATTTCTAGTAGTTTTTTTGGCATGTTTATATTTTATTATACA